TTTACTATTTTCCAATAACATAATAGTTAATTTCAGTAATTTGTAGTTTAAAATCAGCTTTAAAAAGCTGAACCTGGAAAATTAATAAATGTTTAATCTTTAATAGATGTAAAATCATTTTTCCTTTATCCTATTTACATGAACTCAGCTTTTTTTACATTATACAGACGAACAATGTATTAATATTAACTCTCAGTGCTTTTGATTTCTTTGCCTCTCTAAATATGTGACGACAACGACTCCTATGAGAAATGTCAGCTTTTCTCACACACAGCGTTTCACATCAATCCGCATTGAAAATGTCAGCGAAATCTGAATCTGACCTTCAAGAAGAAACATTTGAAACTCGGCGTTTCAGACATCGCTGCTAATGTCATAATCATGCATGGACACCGCGTGCAGACATGACCACAGATGTAAACACACAGACATGGAGGGACGTAAGCGCAGTTTTAGGCTAATTTGGTGGATGAGATGAGACAGATGATATTACCTTGGCTGGGTTTCCGTTCGGCGCGCTGCAGTGGCGTTCCAGGCGCACCTGTTCTTTGTGGGGGAAAGTTGTAATTATCGGTGTTTACTGCCAGGTGGAGAGTGGCAGGGCAGCTTGCATCTGCACTCACCCACGTCTGCATCCTGCCTCCATGAACTGCGTACACCAGACCAATAACACAGAGATACTCAGCTGGACACAGTTGTGTTTTGGCAAACTTTGTGGTATTTTTCCCTATCAATGCTCAGATACATTTTTTTTTCTCCTCTGTTTTCAGTTTAATGAAAAGGCCGAGGCTGTCGTCCCTTGCTTCAGGACTTTGGTCCAAGCCAACGTCCGCAATAAGAAGATCTTCAAGGAAGCCGTCACGCATATGCAGGCCAAAGGAACCACAGACTACAAATCAGGCTTCACGTTTGCCTTCGAGCAACTTCTCAATGTAAGAGCTAACAAGCTTTTCTTGGAACGGCAGCTTTGTTTTTCTAAGGCTGATGCTTTTGTCTAATCTAATTAATCAAACTATGGTGATACCACAAGTCTGACAGTGAGCAGCCCAGGTTTGCATTAGACATTTCCAGAAGGCTGTCATTTCTAACGGCAGGCTTGATTATGGCTGCCATTGCGGCGGAGTGGCAGCCGACATGGAGACGAGGTTTCTCAGCAGCAGCCCGTCCACGTGCTCCCGGCACAGGTGCTGCCTCAGCTCCGTATGCTGCGGCGCATTTTCTGAGGCTGCCACGCTAATGGGCTCTGATAGGATGATTGATGAGCGTAGCCCAGAGGAGATCAGCCACAGACACTTTATATTCCTCTGTGCATTTTGGGAGGCACAGAGCCAAGAATCCTTGCATTTTGTCGGAGAAAAGAGAAATAAAAAAGGAGAAGGGAGGGGGTCTTAATCGCTGTCTGTTGCCGGCTCGCTGAATGATTTGTGGCAGAAGCACAATAAAAATATGTAATCGCAGCAATATTATTTATATTTATTAGAATCTTGTCAGATTGGCCTGCATATCAGCCGCAGCTGTCGTATAGTGGGAGGAGACGGGGAGCAGCAATATTTAATGGTTGATTAATATAATGTACTGTAGATTTAATTCTAACTTGGTGCGTGCTGCAAATAGAGATCTACACACTTTTATAGCAGTGAAGTTGTAAGATTAGGTTGAATGCTTACAGCGTTTTGCAAAATTATACAACTTTCTCAAATTGTATTTGTAATTTAATGTAAATTTTGATGGACCAAAGCAAACTAATTACAATAATGTCCACATAATTGTGAAGTGGAAGAAAATTGTTAAATGGTTTTTAAAATTATCTTTCCATCCATTAGCTATTCACACTTATCCACCCTCACCAGTCCATCACAGGGCAAACCAACATGCACACACCCACACCTTGGGCTGGACCATAAATAACAATATATATCCCAATAGATACATGATCAATATCCGTAGATAATACATCTGATACTTTAGTCAGTAGAGTATTTTTTTAAATCTGGTCCAAAATCGCACAGCACTCTGGGGGAAGTAAGCTAAGCAAGGTAGGTGGCATCAACTCACTAACTCACTCTTTGGTTACCTAGCAACTCACTTGGTTACCTAGCAACAACCTGCTGAGTAACTGGCACAGCAGCAGTTTTAGATTTCACCACTGTGCCTCATTACTGCTTAAAAATGAACAACAGTGTGGAGCTAAAACAGAAAAGGTCATCCTTTCAGATATTTAAAACAAAAAACTAATCAATAATTGATATGAAACTGATATGAAACGTTTATATCGTGATGAGTTTTTCAGCCAAGGACAGTTTAGAGAGACCAGTTAACGGTTGTGTTGTTGGCCGTGTTTTTCTAATTATTTCCATATAAAAATTTCAATAGGATAGTTCATTTTTACTGGAGACCCACCTCCATTGTAGGTCAGGCTTCATGTTTAAGAGTGATTGTTAATGGTGTGTTTGAGGAGCAGTGTTAATTTTCCACACGCTTAGATTTCTTCTACATGTTTGCTGTATTGATTAGGCAAACTGGAAACTGGATTTCTTTTAGCCATTACTTCTTCCTTCTTCATTATTTTTTTTCATAAAGATCCATAAATCTTTATCATAAAGATACTTATGGTCCAGTGACCTTTTCTCAAAGCTCAAGCTCAGTTAGACTGTAGACGCCACAAAATCTCATCTGGATTTAGGTTCAAACTTTCCTTGGTTATTCCTAAAATGAGCAGTTATCTTTTACAATGTCTGACAATGTTTTGCCCAACTTCACTTTCCCCACTAGCACAATGCTGCTGCCACCACCATGCTTTATGATGATGCTTCGGTTTAGTTAATAGCATTAAAAATTAAGTTATATTTTACATAAGTGGAATCTATTTATTAATTAAGGGACTTATGAAGAATATTTATTTGCACTGGAGTTTAATTAAGAGGTACCACACTTTCCTTACACTTCACAAATATTGGGCAATTTTCAATATTTTGCAAAGAAACTTGGGCAAAACTCAAACAAGTGAAGCTAGTGTTGAAAAGACGCTGTGGTGTAAGATAGCTATATCATTACTGCTTTATACTTTCTGTAATCTGTCTCTCTGTTTTCCTTCACTGTCTTCCGTTCGCCTGTCACAGGAGAGCAGTGCCCCGAGGGCCAACTGCAATAAGATGATAATGATGTTTACAGATGGCGGTGAAGATCGTGCTCAGGAAATCTTTGAGAAGTATAACTGGCCCAACAAAACTGTGAGTATGTCTCAGTTAGGCTGATTTCTGTCCATCGATTCCTGTCTCCATGTTTTTGTCTCAGACAGTTGTGTTAGTCAGACATGCCAAGCATCCCAATCTGTGCACAAACCGTCCTCTCTAAGATTTCTTCCCTTTCCTTTTGATTTACATGATTTATCTCCTCTGCCTTTCTTCCAGTCTTTACATTTCCATCCCATCCTTTCTTTCTTTCTTTCTGTCTTTCTCCTTTGTTGCTTAGCTGGTGTTAACAGCTCTGACCTGATGACTAATTAGCCGCTATTTCACCAGAGCATGTGGTGGTTCAGCTGCTGGTTTATTTGTTTTATCATTTTTGTCTTGCTGTCAACACCAAATTTCTCCATTTTGACTAATCTGCCATTTTAAGCTTCATTCAGCTTTGTGAATTTATGTTATAACAAAATGCAAGAGAAATCAATTTCAGCTGTCATAAAAAGTAAGAAGGTTCGATTAAAATATACTGGGTTGCAGTCCTATTAAATCCAATTCGCCTCAGCACATTTAAAATGAATCTCTGTAATTCTTTCTATTCTATCCTGCATGTTAAAATTCTGATGTGAAGCATAATTTTCCTTACAATCCACCTCAGTTCAAATCAGATTTAATTGTGAAATGTTTTTGGTTTTATCAAATTAAACAATGTAGTATAGTTTATTTTTCTGTGTGTTTTCTTGTCCTGAACCAGGTTCGAGTTTTCACCTTCTCTGTTGGGCAGCATAACTATGACGTCACCCCTCTGCAGTGGATAGCATGTGCTAATAAAGGTAAGTTTATTAACAACAGCAACAACGGAAGAAAGAAAGAAAGAAAGAAAGAAAGAAAGAAAGAAAGAAAGAAAGAAAGAAAGAAAGCAGCTGTTGCTGTGATCGACATATTTTTGGTTGTTTATTTAGTATTGAGTCCTTAGAAAACTCTTGATGGGAGAATCCTCATTTTGAATTGTGTAATACATATATATATTAAAAAGTGAAAATAAAATATCTGTAAAACTTTCAAAAGGGATCAAGAGGAAGCAGTATCTTCTGTGAATCTGCCACTTGGGTTTCCCACGTTTTCTTTTTTTAAATTAATGAACTGGTGCTTGATTTTATTCTAACAAAACAAGCATTTAGAGATTAGCAAAAATGAACAATGACGTCAGCTTTTTTCATATTTCAGTAGTTTTTACTGTAATTAGTTTATTGTATCTAATTGCCTGCCTTATTATTTTTCTAAGGCAACAAAATTGCCTTTAGTCACAATATATAAGAAGTTTTTTCAATAATATTAGGCTGGAAAAATATATTTCAAGGTTTGTCTGATTTTCTTATTGAGTAACAAACTTCTAACAGAAGAGCATTTTCTTTGGTGGAAATGTTCATGATCTCCTTGGATGTTTAGTGTGTTTCCAGACAATGAAATACCAAATGATACGAAACCAGAAAATAGCTTTAAAACTGCGGTACTGACGTGCTCTGGCTATTTTAAACCTATGTAAAAATGACTGCCGGACTTTAGTGGGTGATAAAATCTGTTGTATCAGCCTTGAGCTCTGGAATAACCCAGCAGACTTGCAGGTCTCTGACTAACAGTCTGACGGTTGACTCAGCTCCATTTCCTGTTGGCTCTGTTGTCTGATCTCCGCTTTACTCATGTGGGTCTGCGTTAACTTCTTGCTCCTGCTGTGCTTTTTTTTCCTGAACACTTATTATTTTTTCACCCATAAACACTTCTCCTTCACATTTCTCTTGTCTTTTGTGGCTAGGTTCAAATTGACGTTGCAAATTATCTGAAGCTGTTTCTTTAGAAGAGTCTCCTCTGTTGATTAGCTTATTGCCAATGGAGCCAAGTGCCGTGGAAGCATCTCCCCTACTGTTGTTATTAATTAGCAGCTGAAGTCTGGTAGCAGGGCGATTAGCATACCATCCTCCCTGACAGACAGGGGGAAGTCCAGGATTATGCCTCTGAGCCAACATGCTCTCTGCTGTTCACAACTGTAGTGATTACCATAGTACTAAAGACAATAGTGTTGCCGCTCCAGCCTCAGTGGACGGACGCTGACACCCATGTGGGCGATTCCAGCAGACTCTAGCTTTTGTCTAATTTTTACTTTATAGGGGACCAAATAGGCTTCCTTGAACAGCTTATGATAGATCTATGGGCTAAAAACTATATAATTATTATTCTTTTTTGCACTAAATCATTCTTGGATAATGAAATTTTAGTCTGGTCAGTTCTTCATGTTTTGATTTCCTTTCAGGTTGAGATGTTTTAGGGTCTCTTGTCACTTTAAATCCAAATAAGCTGCTGCTGGCCATGCCTCCTAATTAATTTACATTCTTTTGTAAAAGCTGTACAGCTCTTGTAGCAGTAAAACCAGCTGACTGAATGTCCTGAAGCTCAGGTTGGGTTGCTAGGTGACGGATTGGCCTTCTCTGGGGTTGCTAGGTGACGGGCTGGGCTTCTCTGGGGTTGCTAGGTAACGGGCTGGGCTTGGCTGGGGCAGTGCCTACTGATTTGTGACATTACATTCCAGAGGTTTTTGAAATGGGTTGTTTTATAGACACCAAAAAACATGAACTTATTGCCAAAAACTGGATGAGTGTTTTTTTCTTAAGGGTTTTTTGTGATGTTTATAGAAGCAGTAGGAACCTAAATACAAGTACAAAAGTGTTCAAAATGTGAATTCTGTTTTAATCTTGTCTAAAAAATAACATTTTGTGTGTGTTTTTAAGCTCTTATTGAGAGTTTTGCTCTAATAAATAACAGAGGTGTGAGGAATAAGCTTACATAGAGAGGGTGATGCTAATCCTTTCACAACAATGTTGGTTTTGCTCAGCCATCTCACTGGTTTCCCATCTCATCTTGTTTTCCCATCAGTTTTGGAAAAATTTTCAGTTTTCCAGTTTTCCATGTTTTACCCTGTTCAATATTTTCTCCATTATTGATCACTGACTCCACTCTATCATAATGTGCATAATGCTGTAGTGTAGTCTTTTCTTCTGTCCTTTTCCTGACTGATACCTTTTGATCCTTGACAATCTCTAAATTCTGGCTTGACTTAAAGCAGAGGTTCCCAAACTGTGGGGCGCGCCCCCTAGGGGGGGCGCCGTGTCATTGCAGGAGGGGCGCGGGAAGCCGTCTGGATAAAAAAACAAAACAAAACATGAACACTGTATGCGCTGGGTTTTTAGAATGGCCAACTCTCTGTTATTCCTATGTCAGTTTGATACAGTAGAGGCTTCCACACTTCCCATATCTGTGTCACTTTTATCAGCAGTTAAAACTGTTTAACCCGTTGTTAACATGTTGTAGCCTGTTTTTCCGAGCCGCCTTTAAACGCAACATGAGCGCTACGGCGCTGGGTTTCCACCTGTGAAGGAGACCTGCTGCTGCTGGGCGGAGCTACAGGTGTGTTAGAATCACGGCAGCAAACCAGCAAAACGCAAAGAACTTTTCACAGTTTTTCCTCCAAACTAACCGACTGAGTTGAGTAAAGCTGTTGGATGCAGGTAATGTTAGCTCAAAGATGACTAGCTAATATCAATACAGAACCTTAAGCTTAACAAGTTACCTGTAGGCTACCGATGTTGGTGTCTATTTTCAGCTACGTACATTCACTTTGCCCCCCAAAAAGTCGATTCCCCCCCACCCCCCTTCACACGCGTCATTTCAACCAGACAACCATTTGTTGTAATTCATGGGGGGGGCGTAGAAAATGTTTGGAAACCACTGGGGGGGGCGCAGAAGAAAAAGTTTGGGAACCACTGACTTAAAGGATGCAAATGTCCAAAAGCTTTTACTAGACCACCTCCAATTCCGTTCATTATAACTGAATAAATATTGAAATGTAATAAAGCTGTGCATCAACAAAGTGCTAGTTTAAGCATATACATATATTTTGGCAACCCAGATGTTGCAACATATTTATAATATATATACATGTGATTGAAATATTGATTTTGTATCTAAAAACACAGATACATCAGAGTGAAAACTCAAAACTTTCATAATCAGTTTGAAAAGGAGTTGAAAGAAGCCAATGCTTATTAAATCTTACGCCCAATTAACTCATTCTGTAATCCGTTGTGTATTTCAGTCACAATGCTTTACTGAATTGCTTTAAAGGTCAACTGTATTGGTGTATTAAATAATCTAACATGGATTATTAAGGTCTTTTATAAAATCACAGAACTAAATGTATTTTACATCCTTGAACTTGTAACTACAGAATCATCATAAATTATGTTGATATTTTCTGCAAACTCTTAAGTTGCTCAAAGAACATAAAACATATGAACTGTGTTGCCATGCACTATGAAGAAAACAGATCATTAACTCTTATTAACAATATTGCACTTTGTTACAGTTTTATAAAGTAAGACGTAAAGAATGAAGAAATTATTAGTGCTATTACATCTGTTGGAAAGATAGTATTAAGTATAGTATTATAGTTATAATATTATTTATAAAATGTATATCATCTTTGCATTTATTTGACTCTTAGATACACAAAGGGACAGTGAGCAAATACAGAAAAGGTCTGCTGGTTTAAAATCAGTGTCAGCTATTTTATGCAGTCATGCCACATATACAGTAAATCAAATTTTAGACCTCTATATTTAGACTTTATTCATATAGATTTCAATAAAGGCTTCCGGGGACAAGGATCAAATTCGCCACCTCCAGGCCACAAGCGCTTCTCTAATCTCTGTGAAATGTGAACTCAACTACGTCCTGCATAACATCCCACAGGCATCTTTTTGTCATCTCTGCGTAACAAGTGCTGCTCTTATCTTGGTTAGCCAGGTGCAAAGGGTCCATTAGTGTTTAAGTCTATACAGCTGAAACCAGATATTTAAATGATTTCTTTTAAAAGAAATATAACAAAATTATTATTTTCTGTCTGCTGTTGTATTAGCCTTAGATTTTCTATTTTACATCAGTTGTGATCGCTTAAATTATTTGCTCAGTTCCAAATAATGAGATAGACGCGTGTTGATATATATTTTCATTGTATTTGGTAAGAAATTGCAATTGAAACATTTTGATTCCTTTTGGGAGCCTTTAAGAAGCTTCTTGCAAAGAAATTGACTGATTGAGGGAAATCAATTGATTCTTCCTAAGAGATAACTGGGACACAGGCAGGTGTTGCTTTTTGCAGTCAAGGCTTCTTCCTTTCTGAGTGGCTTTTTCAGCCCATCTTAATGCTTAGCTTGTTCCATTGTGGTTAATTGAATTCCCTACTAGCTTCACTCAGCATTTTCTCAAGGTGTTTTGGTTTATTGTGGGGTTGAAACACAGGGTGTGCACTAAAGTACGTCCATCTGTGGCGCACAGAAATGAACAGAGTTATAAATAAACATCTCCAACATATTTTATGTTGGTTTATAAGGTTTATTCTTGCATATTTTTGCTCTTCAGGAATCCAGAACTTGTAGGAAAGGACGAACCAGACCCGTGGAGGTCCATAAATATCTTCTTGGTTTCTTGGTTGATTTATATTGTTTTATTTTTCCATGATGTGACACAAGGAAGCGGAGTGTTTATAACTTATTCACAGCTGCTTCTCACACAAATGAGAGAACATTTCTTTAAGGAGTTTGTTTTAACTTCTACAATACAAAGAACCTAAATAATCCTGACTGAACTAAGAGAAATAGTGATTTGATTTAATACGACTGAAGAAATGTCTTTGTATGTAGTGTGTATATAAGACGTCTGAAATGGACTGTTACATTTTTAATTTCAGTAAAATATAATGATTACATGACATATCTTGAAATAATGTCCCATGCTAAATAATTGCAATTTTCCTTAAAATCTTAACACCACAGTTTATCTTTATCTTTGACATTCAGGTCATAATTAATTGTACCTTATTTAAGAGCGTCTTTGTATAATTTGATGTGTTTTTTAGTAGGATACAGTCAGTGGTAGTTTTTCTCTAGATTTCTAGCGATTGTAAAAGCTGAAGTCTTTCAGTTAGCAGTCATCTAAACAAATGTATTCAGATCTACATCAGTGTTATCTGGTAGACTGTAGCCATGACTCTGAAATCACATCCGTTGCTGTGTGAACCTATAAAATCAAAATCATAATTTTCTCTCTACACCTTTTTGTGGTGCTTTGCTCTAAAATCACCCGTCTGTCTCAACGCCACTTGTCTAGCATACAGACAAGAGCCCTGGCACCAAACATTATGCCAGTGTGTGTGCATTTGTGAATTATAAACTCAAAAATGTTTACGGATGTGCATGAGTGCTCTCATTTTTCTAATGAATTGAGACTGAGAAGGGAGATTTCACCACCAAACACTGTGTGGCGGGGAGGGGGGAGGCTGCCTAATGTGTCGAAATAATGAAAGTTGCCTCTGCTTTTTAACATTCTGGAGACGCTGCCTCCATTTCACGGCTCTTTGTATAAACACTCATGGCTTTAATAACTTGTTGAGCAGCCCGGTTATTGACCCAGTCGGTCATTCTCGTCCATTCCTAATCAGCCGCAGTGCCTGGGGCTCAGCATTCTCAATGAGCTTCCACATTTACATCCTGCAGTACATCTTCAAACACAAAGGGTCAGCGGCTACGAGCGCCGTCGTGTCCGTGTGTCCCACCGTCGTCCGCCGGGGTTTATGACCATGCTTGCACCTAATAAGAACGTGAGGAGATGAGGCTCCGGTCTCCAAAATGGTTCACATTAGGACACACTTTGAAATTTATGCATGAACTGAATATGTCACCTGCATACCCAAGTAAGAAAGTTGAATATATTACTTAATATTTCTAAACTTTACTGTCTGTCTCTTCTTATTTCAGGTTACTACTTTGAAATACCATCAATTGGAGCCATCAGAATCAACACACAAGTAAGACACAGTACATTTATAGACTCAACACAGAATCAGAATTGAGCATAAATTGGACATTTGGGGCAACAATTACATTATGATATTTCTTTAACTTCTTCTCAATTATTGTACACAGCATAAAAACAAATCAAAAGCCTACAAACTCATAATTCCTATCCATTAACAGTGCCATGAAATCTGTGTTAATCTGTGTAAAGTAGAGTATCGTAGGTGTGTAAATGACTTTCATATGTTGAGAAGCATCCTGGATCAAACCTGACTTCCCAGTAGATGAAATCCCTCATGTTTTGATGGAGGTTTGTTCAGGATTAGCACCGTAGTGATGACTCAGATGACGTGGTTTTATGTGAAGTGCTCTGAAAGTTACTTCTGTAAGATTGACTCACAGCACTGAGTTCTGCAAATGCTCAGCTTCTTACACAAAGGACATTTAACATCTTTTAAGGCAGATGGCAAAAGTCGTATCCTTAAATAGTACAGGAGCATCTGAATAATTCAGAATATCATCAAAAAGTTAATTCATATTAGTAATCCAATGCAGCATTCACAACTCATAAGTTGTACAGCTCCATTACACAAAGCGATATATTTTAAGTGTTTCTCATTATGGTAATTGCAACTTATGGGTAATCAAAGCCCCATATTTAGTTTGACATGACAGTTTTCCAACATGCACTGAGCCTCCTAAGCCACAAAAGACCATTGCTGAAGAAACTGAGTGCTGTAACAAAGCATGGAAAGTTGAGTGGAAGGAAAAACTGTATATGCATAAGTAACACCTATAATATAATTGTGAAGCAAAGCTCACTGAAGAGTTGGGAGGAGATTTCCTCTGAAACGCTGACAGAGCTTCACAAGTCCCCAAACAGCGATATATCCGTTGGATTATTCATGGAAATCCATCGTCAGATTAAGAAGCAAAAGCTATATTGCAAAGCAATGTATAAAAAAAATAGATATTTTTTTGTTCCAAATGTATTTTTAGTGCACGAAGCAGAACCAAGGGTTAGAGTTGGTATACTTTCATAAACAGCTGAATTAGCTACAGAAAGTTAGATTTACCACATTTCACTCTTTAACACTTATTAAAAATTTACCTTGCTTGAGTTTCCTCTTGCGTTCAGAACATTTTGCCCCTCAACTAATGTCACATTTGCCTCATTCCAGGCGTAAAAAAATTGTCTCTCCGTCGATGGTGGAGCTACGACGCCATCACTCTCCTCCTACTTTCTTGTTTTTTATTCCTCACTTCTCTGCCAACCCACCCACTCACCAGTCCAGCCAGCCAGCCCAGGAATAGACTGTCAGCTGTTCCATTAACTCTGGCATATTTATATTCTGAGAACTGCCACTTACTCTAATAGGTTTTCTGAAGGTGGTTGTAGAAGAAAACAGTGAGACCTTACATCATTTACCAGTACTCTGCCCTTCAAAATCACTCATTACACCGTCTCACTTGGATAAGATGGCAGCATTCGGATAACAGATGGACTGCAGATGGAAAAACTTTACAAGTACTGTCCTGAGTCACTTTTATAGGACTGCAGGTCCAGTCTTGAAATAGTTGGTGTTGGTGCACAGCGATAAGTTTACTTTTAGCAATTATAGCTGCTGGTTCCCAGTTGGGAAGAAAATAGCATTTAATCAACACAGGTGGATACAGCAGAACTCTGTGTGGCTCTGCTTCCTCTGTGTCATGTGTCTGTTGCTGACTTGTTATGCTTTCCTAGATTGTTCTAGCCAGGCGGAAAATTTCCACTATATCCCGTGAAAAGGTCTGGCTGTCAGTGTCCTGATGGAATATCTCCCCGTGGCGCATTAAACTGGACTTTTATTGAGCTAATAGAATAGGTTACGGCTGTCAGCACCTCGCTGTTCAGACGATAGAAAACAAAATGGACAAAAGCGTTTTACTGAAATGGCTGCTTTTTATGCATATATCTACTTTTATGCATGAAGCATGGGTTGGACAAATTTCTCTGTTCATTTTAATGTGGAAAGGTTTGTTAAGACGTAGTCAAATTACATTTTATGGTTAAAGTTTACATACTTCCACCATGGGCCTGTTGGTTATAATATTATTAAGCTTTTAATTTTGCATTTTAACAGTTCCTTCTCCAGGGTGCAGTGGTAATTCAGCATAAAACCTGAATATTTTTTAAGACTTCAACAATTTTAGGAATTGAATGCACCTACCTGGATTTGTCATGATTTTCTTTAACACTCACAGGGTTAACAGTCAAAAGATGAATGAATTCAAAGCTTTTCAAAATATTAAGAAAGGTAGGGACTCCATAATGTTTCCTAAAGTTTGCCACCAGGTTATGCACCCAATAATTTCAGCACACAATCTCCAAAGTGACGAGTCAATAATTGTTTACCTAAAATAATATTAGCTCTTTGGCATGGGGTCTCCTGAGAAAAGCAGAATAAAACAAATGACCAGGATACTTGACCTTTCACCTCCATTCAGAATTGCTGTGGGATATTCTCACACTGCCATTGTTGACAGTAGAGCTTCTGGGAAATGTTTGTACGTCGCACCCCTGACAACCCTAATGTGTTTTTAATAGCTGCTTCATAACGATGAGAAACTGCCTGAAGTGGCTGCAGGATTGGGGGGTGAGGGTGAGGTTCTTTATGGTTCTGTCGGACCGGGATGCTGCTGCCGCTGGTGGTGACCCGCTGGTTTTATGTGGTGACAAAGACAAGGCCGGTCAGGGTCTTGTGGTTTTATGACAGATGAACATCAGAGGGCTCTACAAGCTCTCTACCTTTAAAGCCAATGCACTACGGCTGCCATAAATGTCTGTTTATTTGTGTTTACTGTGGAAACTCACAGAGGTAAGTGTAAATGTTTCTGCCTGCAGGAATACCTGGATGTCCTGGGACGTCCCATGGTGCTGGCTGGGCCTAAAGGTAAACAGGTGCAGTGGACCAACGTCTACCAGGATGCTCTGGTAAGTACACAAAATGTATATTTAAACAAAAAACATGTGCTTTTGCTCATTTATTTCATATTATGTATCATTATAAGTTTTTTTTTTTTCATTTGCAAAATCAAGGTGAAGGCACTTATTTTCTCTTTATAAGTCTCCAGTTTCTACTGAAGAGAAATTTTGACTATTTAAAATCTAATTGTTAGTTATAAATTTCTGACTTTTTTTCAGGGTTTGGGGCTTGTCATCACAGGAACGATGCCAGTTTTCAACCTCACTGCAGACAGCGCTAGCTCTCAGGTAAAAACAACTGACTTTTAAAGTGTCTCCTATGCGCCCACCCACACACAAATCAGTGACTCAAACCAATCTATTAATATTATTATTCTGTTAAAAAGTTTTTCTTGCCCTTTAAGTGGGCGAAGCTTTAAAGTCAAGCAAACGTACATAATGATTTCAGCTTTTGTATTCATTATTTATCTGCGTGTCACCATCATCAATCATCTGTAATGATGTTCACACGGCTCCGACTTTCTGTGGCAACACCTCCCCCTTGAGGTGACATCTGACATTGCAACAAATCGTTTGTGGCATCCACTGACCACAACGACGCAATGCCTTGAAAATATTCATATCCCCGGTGGTTTTCCTCAGTCATGTAGGAAAAAGATTGCAACCACAAACTTTAGTGAATTTCATGTGATAGTTTGTAAAGTTTAAGCAAAAGGATGCACGGTTTTGAACATTGTTTACAAACAAATTGCGTCTGAAAATAAATTCTGAAAGTTGAGATTGTACATCCATCTTCCCACAAACTCTGAGCAGCTTCTCTGTGCCCGCTGAAGAAACACATCTGTACAGCATGATGCTGCCACTACCATGTTTTATTATGGTGTGCAGCTTTTGTTGGATTAGATACTAAATGTTAGCCACATTTCTGTGCCAGTCTACCAGAGACCAGAGGTTTTCTTTTTCTCATTCTTTGTGCAATGCATGACTAATCGTTATCCTGATAGATTTTTCAGCCTGAGCTGCGGCGCTTCGCATCTCCTCCTTTTCCAGGAAAAGAGGAGGAGATATTATTATAATAATATTATTATATTAGGATCCTAATAGTTTATTTTCATCCCTCAGAACCAGCTCATCCTTGGGGTTATGGGAGTAGACGTTGCAATTAATGAAATCAAGAAGAAGACTCCAACATACAGAGTGAGCATTCTTTGCTCTCATAATCATACCCACATATTTATCTTTGAAAGGTTAATAAATCATTTTCTAACTTATTTTGCCTGCAGCTTGGGGCCAATGGCTACACATTTGCTACTGACCCAAACGGTTACGTGCTGCTGCATCCTAACCTAAGACCCAAGGTAGGTCCGTCTCTGTGCATCTAATTAGTTTCCTAATTCTGAAACTTTATTCGTTTTAAATGATGTTTATCCTCCCCCGCTGCCTCCCACCCCTCTGTGCTGTTCAGATCATTAACTTCAGGGAGCCCGTCACTCTGGACTTTCTGGATGCAGAACTAGAAGATAACAACAAGGAGGAGGTAAAGCGAGTTATCAGGAACAAATTGGTTCTCAGGTGTTTTTAGTAGAGTTAAAAATCAGAAATAACTGGATAAGATAGAGAAGATTTATTCACACTGAAGCGACCAAACTTTATCTTATTTCAGTAGACTACAATACCAACAATAATTTATAATTTTACGTATTTCTTCAGTGACTGTTAGAATTTAAACTTCAGGATTTCCCCCAGCGTATTACAAGCCTGGCGGGCTGCCAGGCTTTACTTGTGCCCCCACCAGGAAAACCATTATTTACTTATTTTAGCTTTTTTTCATGTTTTCCCCTTTTTAAAGTCTTTATACTTATTGTTCAAGTGTTACTCTTCCAATAATACATAATTATCAACTGATGTTTTCAAATTTTGTTGTCCATGAGACTCTGTAACTAATTTGACAGAATACTTAGGATTATTGTCCATTTGGAAAACCAATTTATGTCCAAGCTTTAACATCATGGCTGATGTTAAATGTTCTTCCCTCATGTTATCATGTATTTTGTGAAGTGCACCAGTCCCTCCATTAGCAGAACAGCCCACAGCATGATGCTGCCACCCCTTTACTACATGTTAGGATGTTACTGTCAGGCTTTCATCAGGGTCAAATACTTCAATTTTAGTGTCATCATACCACAGGACATACCTCCAAAGACTAAAATCTTTACCCCTGAGGGCATCTGTGTTTTATGGGATATCATTTCACTGTGGATAATGACACTCTTAAAGGACTTAAAACAAACTCACGTTTTAAGTTCTTACTGACTTAAAACTGTAGTCTGACTTAATACACAAGAACAAAAGGTGGCATGTATTTTTATACAGTGTATTTCAGTTAATGCTCTTTTGTTTTTCTGAGTATTGTGTGCCTTCTCATTGCATCCTCTGTTTTGCTTTCCTGCAGATCCGCCGACAGATGATTGATGGCAGATCGGGGCAAAGAAAAATCAAGACGCTCATTAAGTCAGTTGATGAGGCAAGTCATCAATATATGTGACTCAATCATGATCCAAAGTAGCACCTTCCTGCATGGCGCTGTAATGAATCTGAATCAGTCAATGTGTTCACTGTCCTTTGTTTCCTTCTAATTATGGGAGGCGAAATGTGCAGATGCTTTAGCAGGGTTAGCTCACCGTTTTGTGTTTACCCACAGAGATACATCGACGAAGCCATGCGAACGTACACATGGACGCCCGTAGAAGGTACAAACTACAGGTGGGTTTGCATCTAACAATGCATTACCTGACATTCAGACCAAAATAGTGGAACCTGTAAGTGTTTTTTAAATATCTTCTTTCACTTTGGATTAGCTCACTGTTATAAATATGAAGTGCAGCTGCTGCATCTCAAGAACTGAGTTACTGTCTTAATAGGCTGTAAAAATACCAAAACTGGGTAATTTAAGAGGCTAAAAATACCAAATTAAGTCTAAAACTTAATTAAATCAGTTTTTAATATTGAAGTTGCACATAGTTAGGCAATCTGGCTTCTGATTTACATCTGCCCAGTTCTGTTAATATTTATCTAAGAAATTATATAGTTATGCAGTTTTAAAATCTGACTGTTATGGTTTACAGTAGTGAGATATTTTAAAGCATGATCCTGCTATGGGTTGTACTTCAGATGTTTTCATACATTTACGCCTTCAAAAGGACAAAATTAAAAAAAGCAATGCCATTTTCTGAATTATTTGGTTTAAATTCAGTATTTTAGTTCTGCAACAGCTTGATGGATTAGGCAGAATCAGTTTATAATCAGTTTATAAGATATATATATATATATATATATATATATATATACACTAACTCTGTAAGTCCTCACATGAATTTGGTCAAAGTGCATCAGGACAAAGGGTTGCTGCTATTCAAAAGTCTTTGGTTTGCACACATTGAGTAAAATATTCTGGATTTCTTCCAGAATATTTTATTTGAACAAAAATCTGAGAAATTAAGACTCTTCACAAATGGACATAGTTATCAATCACCTGTTGATTTTCGAAAAATTACTAGAACTGAATTTTGAAATTGAATTTGTTGTTAGCTTCAGTAAAAAATAAGAAAAATGTGTTGAAATAAAAACCTTCAAAAGAATCCTAAAGGGAAAATATTATTCTGCCTTAAGATCAACAACCAAGTCAAATGAATTCACCTTTTTATTTTTTTTTTCCACCACTTTATAAATAAACCATACATTAGTTGTTAACTGTGTTTTTCTTTCCTGATTCTGCCTTTAAAGCCAAATGCAAGCAGTGTGTGTGTTTTGTATCACCTTAATATTTTTAACTATGATTTATAAAACTTCTTAATTCAATTTATGGCAAAGACAATTATTTACAAGAAAGACAAACTAAAATGTTAAGCCTATTTATATATATTTTCTTGCTGTATAAATCAATAGTCAACTAGAAATGCTTACAGATGTGTGAGCTTCATTTAAATGCTGTGTTTTAAAGTGCAAAGATGCATAAAACTCTTTGTTGGAAAGCTTGAGTTTCATGCATCTCCTAATTAATCCACATTTCAAAGTAAAATAGAGTCACACAAAGACCAGAAAAGGATCAGTGAACCTTTTGAACATTTCATGTTTAGTTTAAAAATGAGTTTAGGTTTGAAAAGTATTCAATCGTGAGAACCGGGGCCAGAGATAAGCCATCATTAATCTTTGGCTATTCAGTTGTAGTTTCTCAAAGCTTATTGATGATGCAGAGGGATAAATGAGCTTTATGCATTGGGGGGATGAGTACCTTGTTTCTCTTGAATGTGCAAATGCAAGGCTGATGCAACAAAGGCTGAACCATTAGTCTGGATCTTATTATTCTCCTCCTTTGTCATGGTGAGTTTCAGATTACGAACCCACATGCAAGAACACAAACAGAAGA